TCCTTTGAGCTTAAAAATGACCGACACTCCCAAACGACCACAGTGACAATCCGCTAAGGTCCACCCTGACCATCCTCTTCACACACACAGTGTTTTCATGTCCAAAGTGACATATGCACAGCGAGCTCATGGAAAACGCGACAATGTGCACGGCTTCAAAGAAAAAATGGCACGCTTCCATTTTCTCTTCCGTGGTTATGTTGGAAATAAAGCGTGCCGAATGGTTCACTGGGCTTTCGATTCAGCTTGGAGGGTGGCCCTCGCCAGAACCGGCCAAGCGGACATCCTCTTTACCACAGCAGTTTGTAAGACATGAACTCCAGGTTCAGTTCTGCTTACATTTCCCCAGTAACATGGGTAAGATGACTGGACAAGTCCCCTGGGTCACGAGAGGCCTGTGGGGCCAAAGCAGTGGGTCCAAGGTTTGGGTGAAAGCAGTTAATATTTCATTGAGCATTTACTTGTGCCAGGCAGGCACCTAGTAATGTGATTCTCCACTTTTCTCAATGACACGAAGCAGATAGTGTAACACCTACTGTATAAATGTAAAAACTAAAGTTCTTAGAATACAAGTAATCTATTCACATAGTAATTAGCAAAGCTGGTTGGGATTTATCCGCAAAGCTGTTTCTTTAGAATGAAACATTCTGCCACCAAAGAATTAAAACATTAAACATTGCTTCAGTTGGCACCCATGAGACCGGAGTTTGAATCTACGGAGCTGACTTTTGGAATCTTCGATTAAATTCCCCCATGAGATGCACCAAAGGCCATCAACTAAAATGGATCGTTGGCTGAGTGTGCTAAGTCTGCTGGTTTCTCCCGCCACTTAAAGATACTTAAGGTAGAAACCCGCACTGTAGATCTTACCACTGGTGACTTCGTTGAGATTTCTTTGATGAAGATGGGAAAATTTTAACCTTAAAAGCCTAAACAGACCATAATAAAAATGCCTTTATGTGAAAAAGCCATTTCGTTTTATAGCTGCGGATCTCAGAAGCATCCCTTCCTTTAGCCGACGAAAGCAGATGATGAAAACGCAGTAGAAATGCTGACTCGTGGCGATGGGAATCTGCTTTTCACCATTTTCAGGTGGCTCCGAAGTATCGATAGGTCATAATAACAATCAGAAGGTGCAGAAGCAGCAAGTTCACTGCCGTAAACTCATAGTCGTGCGTCTGGACCTCACGCATGAACCTGAGTGCCTACGTTCTGTACCATCAGAAGAAAAGTGAAATTCACCCATCCGGTCCAAGAGGAGACATCTGATTAGCCTCCCCCACGCTACCGGCGACAGAGAGAGAGCTTCAAACACTACTGGACGGGAGAGAAGGCCATCTGCCTTAAGTTTACTTGGTGTCGCGGCATATCCTGTGCGAGCATATTTCAGTAGAAAGGCTTATCAGAGCCACTCTGGGGGCTGAGGTAAAGTGTGAAGGAGAGAAACTCACCTTGGTCACTGATGCAGGACAGATAGAAAAGGGCTCGCTCAAGTTCACTGTTTCGAGCTTCATCCCAACTGTGAAGAAATGGCTTCGCAAATCTGCATGATCCTGCAGGGAAACAGATACAAATACTGAACGCGCTGGTATTGCAAATCAGCTCGGTAACTGTCTGGATGCTGTCCTTGAACATTTTACTGGGCAACTGAAATCGGATTCAAAGAATTAACCCTCCCCGTTTCAAATTTCTAATTATTGCAAGATACTGCGGATTTAATTATTTTCTGCGAGTTAAATTGCTTTTCCGGGAGAGAGGAAACGGCCTTTGTGGCCATGCTTAAATTTACACAGAGCCAAAAATTCACAATGCTCTGCTTTGATCTTCCTAGGTGCTACGGCACAGCAGTTACAGAGGCGATCCGTCATCAAAAACACAGCAGCAACATCTTCAGGAAATGTGGCCTCGTGCCACTGGAGTTACTTCACAGCTAGTACCTCGTGGGGGTATAGCGTGTCCCTGCCTCCTGACTCTGAGGACACACAGCTTATCGGTTGTTGGTGGCTAGCCAGGCTTCAGCTAGTACCTCGTGGGGGTATAGCGTGTACCTGCCTCCTGACTCAGGACACACAGCTTATCGGTTGTTGGTGGCTAGCCAATGGTCTTGGAGATGTGTGCAAGCAAGGGTCCAAAACAGCCCTGCAGACAGTCAGAACCCGACTCCTGCTCAATGAAGATAAGCAATGCCCGTGTCTAATAGTCTGGCAGCTTCATAACCAGCTCACAACAACCTTATGTGTGCGAGATGGAGCTGTCCTGCCTTCTCACGAAAATGAACGTCAATATCCACTTCAGCTGTACAGCAAGAGGTGGGGCTGGCTGGACACTGGACACCAGGATTTATCTTGCTGAGCTGGAGGTCACGGTCTGTATAAAGAGTAGTGTTGGGTAAAGAAAGAGATTCGAGGCTTGCCCCTGCAAATCAGTCTCGCCATCTCTAGATACATCAGTTGGGTGAGAAGCACAAAAATACCTGGGGAGCTATGACTTTCCTTTCTCTGTACAGTGGATTTTTAATTAATTCAACGACGCCACCCTACATCCAGTTCTGAGGATCGCGCAGAGGCCACCGGGCTGTGCCTGCTCCCCACGCAAAAGCGGGGCGATGAGGTCGGTGTGTTACACGACACCAAAGAGGAACTGCCTAGAGAATTCTCCAGCACGCCACTGCTTTACGGGGGAAGGGACACAACACGACCGCCTGCAGAACCACGAGGACCGCTCACGTCACAGGTCGCCACGGCAGTCTGCGAACGGATGCACGGTAAGTGTTGGGTCTGGCTGCAGCCAATGATGCCACGTCCGGGGGGAGGTGACCATGATGCACCGGAGTGTGCCAGGGGTGCGCTGCCTCCCATGACACTCACTGGAAGAACTGGCCCGTCCTCAACCTTTACCAAATCCTTAGGAATTTATAATCAACATTGTATGAACATTATATGTATAAGGAAAAGCACGAGAAAACACTCTTAGGTGCAGGAGATAGTTTTTATTTTTTATACTGAAAATAAAGCGTTTATTTTTAAGGGCGGCTGGGGAAGATGGGTCCAGAAAAAGAATTTAAAAAGAAACCGTATGAAGAGTTGATGCACATTAACACACATCAACCACAAGGCGAAGGCAGTCAGAAGCCTCAGGTGTTGAGACAAAAACGTGAACTGGAAATGACTGACATCTGAATTAAAAGACTGGCAATTAATATTCCCATCAGACATCGAAGCCCCCGTATCTCACTATCAATGGGGACTGCGGTGCTGGAGTGGATTTTGCAGATAAATATTTTTCTCTTTCAAGCACAAAACCTTTTAAACTTTTCGAGAACAAAAAAAGAGGAATGATTTTAAAATTATAATAAAACTTTGCTTGAATATACTCAACGAGTTTACGCAGTCATTATTCTACTGTTTGACAACACGGAAAATGACACATCTGTAATTCTAATAACTGGCCCAGATGAATGTAATATTTTCTCAGACATTCTTCTGTTTCCCCCTCACTGCTCACAGCCACGAGGCTAGACATCCTTGAGATGTGGTCCCCCCATCGGAGGAAACGCGTAACTTCTTCCAGCTGCCTCCATCGCCAGGGCTCTCCTGGTCATTTCCAGCTCTCACCTGTCCCCGCCCCTGCATTTCTGCACGGCTGTCCCGACAGCGTTCTGGGCTTCTGGTCTACCCGCCGTCTGGTCCCCTCCTGATTTCAGCTCGTGTGCCTTCTCTTTGCCCCATAGACTTCGTTCCTACCGTTGCTCTCCGTAGACCGAGCTTTCCTTGCAGGGCTGACCCATGGATGCCCAGGCCCTTTTACATTCCAGGCTCTCCGCTTGACCTTGACCACTGACCTTGAAGTCTTTAGCCAAGTCAACACCTATCCTATCTCGATGCTCCGAGCTGTACGAGAAAGGTCTCTCAATCACAGATCCCGACGCTGTATTAAATCTCTGTGGCCCCCAGGAAGCTACACCAACAAGTGTCTTTAACCACTGCCTTATTTTATTCAAAGCTGTCTCGTGGGACCCAGCCATGGTGGCCTTTCTTTAGAAATAGAACATAAAGGCTCAGGACAGCAATGTACTCCATAGGTAAGCTTCTCCTTTCAGGGCTGTAGACTATATTATAAATGCCTATCGTTAACGATGTCGGTGTCTTCAGCATCGCACGCTCTCTCTGGGTTAGGGGGGATCACTTTGTGCGGCTTCCACTCCCTCTCTTCCTTCTTTCCTGTGTCCACGTGCTCGTCCGACAACCCCCGAACATCCGCCTCTCTGCTCACCCAGGATCAATACCATTCACATCAAAAACACACCCGGCCATATGTGTGATGGAAAGAAAATGTGAATATTTTTAAACGGTGAGAGATTGTTGACAATCTTTTGTCCTGATGACATTAAAATATTTTTAAACAATTTTTAAAAATGCTTTAGTGACCAAAGACTTCCTTCGAAACAAGTGTTTCCTTTGTCAATCATGGCTCGGATTTCCTACATCTTAAAACATTTCTATGAGGTTTTAGTTGTAAGCACACACACTTCTTACTTGTGGAAATGCATCTGTTTTGGTTCCAAACTATGTGAAAACTCTTAAACTCTCTTTTTTAATATACTGGAATAAGAAGCCAGACATTTTAAAAGGTAGCTGTAGAAAACACACCTCTCTATTTCCCAGCCCTAACCTACACTTTCTTAAGGCCACTTTTTAATTGGCTTTTTTTTAAAAAAAAAAAAAAAGAAAGAAAGAAAAATCCTAATATGACCACATAGAAATCCTACCCATTCCAAAGGGAAGTCAACATAATGGAAATTTTTAAAATTTAGAAGCAAAGACACATAATGATTCTGAGTTTGACTAAATCTGTTACTTTAATGCTCATGGTATTCATGGATGATGATGTCAGGAACTTTTTACTACAGCGGCAGGATGATACTTTCTAAAAGGGCTTGCCACTGAATCCTCTGGCCACTGGAAACCTTTACAAAACACACCAGATAGTCAGGGAATACATGCAATACTTTCCAGGCAATGCCAAACTCTCTCACTTATGTTATGCAATTCATCCAAGAGAGATCCCAATACCTATTTATTGAATTAAGCTGACAAAACATCAAAAATTGGATACTTCCTTGACATTCGTTCCAATACTATGTTCTACTATTTATTCGATAAACATTCATTAGACACCACTGAGGTACCACACACAGTAGGCTATTGGATGGTACACAGTACACATGCGTAACAAAATACCGTATTTATCTAATGGAGAAGGAAAAGACAAACAAAGAACAAGCTATGAAAGACCCAGGCTTAGAAGAGATCTCACAACGAATAGTTTTACTCGTAGCGCATAAAAAATTATCATCGCTCTGACGATGGCAGTCCACAGAATTATAGGGTGCGAATCTTGATCTGATCATGAAAAGCACGCGACTTAGAATGATAAAGGAAAGACTGGGAAGGTGGCATGGGAAATTTGGTTAGGGAAGCTGGGTCTTAAATAACGATTGAGGCGTTTGAGTTTTATCTAAAAGGAGTCATGTAGACACTCCTAAAAAATATAGGGTTTTTTTTAATGATACGAGTTCAACACTAGTGAATTTCCAAATAGGTCAATACACAGACCTTCTGAGCTCTATGCGTGTATGTATGTGTGCATCCATGTTAGTATATGAGAAAAGGTACAGATTTGTTTTCTCACTGAAAACAAATTTAATCAACCTCGACCATTTACTTCGGGCCGTTAATGCAGTCAGAGTATGTGCATTTATTTATACAAACACCGGCTAATCATTCTCTGCATTAAGAAGACAGAGTTCTTGGCCCCTGAAGATGATTTGCAAAACCAATTATCTACTGAGAGATAATGGGAAATTCACTGCGGTTTGAAAGATACACGATGGCCTTTGCAGAAGTTCTAGAGAATCATTCACACCTCACAACTGCTGGCCCGGGAACGCTGTTATTCCCGAAATCAGGGGAGATGACTCAATCCTCAGTACATTTACAGATCCACCTGTCACATTCAAGAAATACTGTTTATTTGAATGTTCCAGAGTCCAGTGAAAATTGCTTACAGAAAAACTCCTCTCGCTGGCAACGCCGTTCCCATCTGCATTCATCGCTACACGTTTTATTTTTGCCTTCGAGTGGTTTTATATTGATCAGAGGTAAAATACCATTTATTTTATTGGAGGGCTGTCTTACCAGCCTATGTTAAAAACTGCTCTTCAGGGAACCTTATTTTCAGTCGATTGACAATGTAAAAGAGATTACATGTACATCAACTTTGGTTTTCCACTCCGGTTTCATTGGCTTTATTGCCGCCAGAACCCAAGTTGCTCTCACACTTTTCCTACCGAGAGAGACACAGTAACTACTCTGCATTGAGAATAACTCGGTTTGGTAAAGCAATAACAAGGAACATACTGTAAATACTCGGAAGCCCTTTCCTTGTGTTATAATTCCTCCCTCGCAAAGACTATTGGGCAGTAAGTATTCATCTTGCGGTGAAGAAATTAAGACACAGAGGGGTTAAGTGACCTAAACAAGGACACAGCTAC